TCTCTCTTTCTTTCTCTCTCTCTCTCTCTCTCTCTCTCTCTCTCTCTCTCTCTCTCTCTCTCTCTCTCTCCATCTCTCTCTCTCTCCCTCCCCACGCACATTTTCTTGCTCAAATCCCTTTGCTGGTCGTTGCCGGTGCTTGACCTGTTCTCATCTGGCTGGATAGTGTTGAGGCCAGTCGGCTGAGTCCAGGGATTTGATGGCAGAACAGTTTGTGCTGTGCTGTGGGTGGCATTACGATTGCGCTTTCAGAGCACATGGTCCAAGGGGTTATGATGTCATCGGGGGCAAAACTTGCGGTACCCCGTGATCGTGCAAAGTCATGGTCCCTTGTGTGCCACCTATCTAGCAGTTCAGGATAATCTAGGATAGTCTTATCAAGAAGGGAAAAAAAAAGGTATGGGTTTGCATGGGCGCACAAACGATTCCAAAAAAAGCACTCAAAGCCAAATAAACGGGGACTAAAGTGCAGTTCTCGACAGCACGACCCTTATGACAGGCTAAAATGAAGGGGAAGGCCTCACAGGCCCTCACTGACCCCACTTTGTTATTTTCTTTTTCTTCGACCCACTTGCGACCAGATTCAGCGCTTTCTGAGAAGGGTCAATTTCAGAGACCAAGGGGAAGGCCTCGCTGACCCCACTTTGTTTATTTTCTCTTTTCGTGACCCAGTTGCGACCAGATTCAGCGCTTTCTGAGAAGGGTCAATTTCAGTGACCAAGGGGAAGGCCTCGCTGACCCCACTTCGTTTATTTTCTTTTTTTCTTGTGAAAACCGCTCGCTCTTTCATTTTGAGTCGCACCACTTACATGGCATGCACCACATTCAGTCTATAGAGGAACATTTGCTCCCATGCCCCTGTGCTTTTCCAGACTTGGCTGGACGCCCTGCTGCCCTTTCAGGACCGTTTACCTGTGCACAAAACTTGGGCATCAGAATAGCACAAAATACGACATGGATTGGCACAGCACACACAGCTGCCCGCAACAACCCTTTGAAATTCTTGAAAATGCGTGTTCCCGTCGAGGGCATCCGACAAACGGGAGGACTTGCAGTGTTGCACAGGCATTTGGAATGCCGAGGCATCGTGCCAAACACGACTGTCTAAAGATTAAAGCAGGACGATATTTCCATTTTTTCCTCTCAAACCAAACCATGTTTTCTCAGAAACCCATAGAATTTAGCACAAGCATACAGAAGCGTATACACAAGGCATGTCAGTGAGCACGATTATCCCTTCGTACTCAAAGTTCATCTGAAAGATCACCTGAAAGTTCACCTGAAAGTTCACCTCTTGGAACTGCGCACAGTCCGAGAGAGGTACTAAACAGAAATAGGCAGTACTGACACTACCCTCTTCATCCAAATAGAACGCAGGGTCATTATCATGGCAACTATCGTCTTTCCCCGAACACAACGCATCCTGATTCCGAATGTATACAAGCTATCTTTCCGGTCTGGTGCAGCCAAAATGAGCGTGCGTTGTGTTCGGGGGAAGACGGTAGACTGAAACATCGCCCCAAATATAGCGATAATGACCGGGCATTCTCTTCCGGTGATGACAGCTGCAGTTCTTTTCTGGCATTAATTGAATCTGAATGCAATCACAACCAGATGCCTCCTCCATGAAAGAGGATGTGTCGGCCATGTTCCACTAGGAATCCAATAGGAATGCTCCCGGTGTAATTTCCGTGTAAAACCACATCAAACATCTAGTACCTCGGCGTCCTTGGGGCATGCGCACACTGGGACTTCTTCAGATGAATTTCACTGGATATAGAGTTTGATACATGTCGGAAATGCCTGGTGTGAACAGTACACTCTTCACTCAAAACACTTCTGGTGTGCCATAACGTCAAACCTTTACCCTACCTTCTTCTGCCGAATAGAACACCCCGTCGTTATAGCTGCATTTGGGAATTTCGGGGCAACTTCCAGACCAGATGCGGCGATAAGGACTGGGTGTTCTATTCGGCTGAAGACGGTACGCCATACTCGCACGGGAATTGTGTCTCGAAGCTCAACTGCATCTTGCAATTATTTCGCTCTCCTACTTCCCAGCAAACTCCTGCCAGCCGTCTTCATACAGTGAAGATAGCCCCGTGAAGATAGCCGTATTTGGTGCGTGACTATCAGCCTACATACAGTGATAATGACCGCGTGTTATATATGGGTAAAGACGCGAGGGTGATTTACAAACACCTCCGATCATTATCCTTCTGTTCCACCGTGGCACCGTCCAAACATCCGCCGGGTTCAGAATTTAGGTAGATTATTACAAAGTCGTTTTCTTTTATACTTCATAATCTATGAAACTAGTAAATTACCATCATCAATCATTTTCCTAATCCACATCAATCATTTTTTTTGTCTAATCAACATCAATCATTTTTTTTGGCTAATCAACATCAATCATTTTTTTGGTCTCATCAACATGATCAATCATTAAGTAAACACCTCCGTCATTACGACACCACTGTCATCGTCTTCTAGCCCCCTCACCAATCATTTTTTTTGTCTAATCAACATCAATCATTTTTTTTTTTAATGAAAAAAAAATGGGCATGTGGTGTTTGAAACACCCTACACGCCAATATTTTTCTTTTCTAATTTTGACAATTTTATTTTTTAATAGGGAAAAAAAAAAAAAAGAGAACATTGCAATGTGCCCAGTCGTGATAATCAGTCGTCACCCTCAAGGACAAAATAGACGAACGCTGCTGATAAATCATAATAATAATAATCCCAAAATGAGAGAGAATGCATACACAGACGAGAGAGGGAGGAGGGAGAATAGACTTCGAGAGGGTGGAAGATTCTCCTCCCTACAGCCCACTTCCTCTTCGGGCACTTCCTCCTCCTAGCAGCATAATCGTGTCTCAATCAGAGATCCGGACATCCAAGACAATG